GGGGGGGAAAAAAAAAGGGGGGGGGGGGGGAAGGCCATATGGCACCTTTAAGATACTGTATTCTTTGGAGAAATTGGAAAAATTCGTTACCATGATGCAAGCTATAAACCTGGTAATTTGTTTGCTGTTCTTTAGCATATGCCTGCATCTTGATCTTGTGCAATTAAGGAGAAAGAAAATGAGGGCGGGAGGAATATAAGCAAACAAATATACATGTTGCTGAATAGATGGCATGCTGGAAATACACATAATAACCTGTTTAATGTAAAATTGTACCTATACTTTCAGCGAATTATATGGATTGGGGTGATCTTCTTTCCCATTTTGTCTGTGGGAATTGAATTGTTATAAATGAGTTCTCAGTGCTATTTAATTATTGTTAGTTTGTGTTAACATCCCGTTTTTTTATCTTCTAGCTGAAAGTCATTGCTATTGATGAACAGCTGAGAGTCGTTTATGAGGATAATGTTCATTTTGATAAAGACCTTCCGGAATTTAAGTACGGCTTTTTATATTTTACTTGGATAATATAATTTGGAACTTTGGAGATCGGTGTGGGGGGGCTGTTGCCTTAGTTGGTCTCATTGATATGTGTGGAGGCATGGAAAAAGTTCATGCCATGTTCATGTTTCATGCTTGGCAAGGGTAGTATGTACTCTTGCCTTCCTTGGTATATAAATATGGCAAGAACTCCCGACAGGAAATAGATTAAAAAAATCTACCCCAAAGTATTATGTATAAATAAACAATTTCTTTTTTCTCTTTTGGGACTTTGTGACTTGTGGACATGACTGTTTCTTTTTGGGACACAGAAGTAAGCACTGCCTTTGTGTCAGGGTAGAATGCTGTGATAACAGCAAGTAAATTGCATGAGGGGAACTTCTAAAAGGCATTTGAAGACAAATTGAGTGGTTCCAAATCTCACAATAAGATGTAGGATGGCAGTGTTTGTTTACTTCAGTTAGCAGGCTAGAATTTACAAATGTCATCCTCCGTGGTCATAAGTTTTAACGAAGTACATTTATTTACTTGATGGTTTAACAGCAAAAATTGAATTTCATCTTCTAGGTCCAAGCCACTAATGGTGACAGTTAGGAGACTTAGAAATAACTATGAATTACATGGAGTCAATGAGCAGTATCAGATCTTACTTCATGATCGGAGCCTTTCCTTGCAAATTATTTACTTTACAATTGGGTCAAACATCGGTTAATGTCACCTCCTAGGAGCTGGCTTTTACTTTTCCAGGTTTCAAACACTGATTGTATCCTTGCTCTTAATGTAAAAGCATTGCAAACTCTCTTTGTTTATTAATAAACTTGAAGAACTTTGCTTGACAGGGAAAAAATTGCTGAATTCACCAAGAGAAAATACCGTTTTTCTGTAGGACTCAAGGTGGAGTCTATATTCACAGTGACAGACTGACAGTCACTTCTCCTGTGCTAATGTGGGTCAAGGTATGAACAAGCTTTGTATAGTTCAACTTTTTCCTTTCTGTTACTGAAATGAAAATGTATTCCAGGCAATAGTGAAACTCATCATTCAAATCAACATAGGACTTTTGCTTGTTTTCTGTTTCTTTGAAGTATTATTCTGTGTCTTTGGTATGCAAATATTAATGTTATCAACAAACATAGTGGAAGTTGCTAACGTTTTGAGGTTTTGTTTGTTTGTTTGTTTTTGCAGTCTCTACTATTATAGCATTGTATGTGTGATAAATCCTTTCCTGACTTTCCCTCATTTGGAAAAAAGACTGTTCTTTTTTTTCCAAATCTTTTTGTTTCATACACAAAAGAGGCAGCTGTTGCTTTGCCTAGCTTAAATCTTTGTTTTTGTAGCATCCACGTTAGCTTTGGTAACCAATTGATGTCTCAACTGGTAAGTGGTTAAAGAACAATTTAGTCATTGATTCCCAGTCACTTTGACTGGTGTTTATTTTGGAATACAACATTCTTTTCTATTTTAAAAGAAGGCCTTCCTTGCTTCTGTGCAGGTTCTGCAACACTTGCTCTCATATGGTACTATGTAAATTTATTTTAGTACTGTGATTTGAATAGTTTGATATTTGAAAGGTCACAGAACCCCCAGCTGGTAATCCATGGTAGTTGACAAAGGTTTGGTAAATTTCTTTGCAGTTGGGCTTTTGAACCATAATGAACAGGAACAGTTGTAACTATTAAATTAATAATAAGGTGATACAGGTATCTGATGTTTCTTGGGAAATTCTGAAGTCTTGCAGTGGTCCATTTGTCAAGATAGCCTGGGAAATGCTGATCTGAATGAAACTATGTAAAGATAGATTAATTTTTGGTTTTAAACTTCAGGAACATGTGGCTAGAACAAAATTAACCTAGGTGCTTAAACTGCTAAAATTCACTTGAATTAGCCTTATATTAAAGGGACTTTCAGTTTTCAGGTGACACTGGGGGCAGTGGTATTGAGGATACCTAACATCTTGTGGGATCGGGTGCAGGGTCCACCCCATTAAGGTTTCATAGATTTCCAAAAGTAAGAACAGAAAAAGATAATCCTGCTTTGTGTCTGGCACTCTTAAAAGTGGCTTTTTATTGAATAGGAATTCTTTAACTCTTCCCTCTTATTTAGGTTTCAAAGAATGGATCTTTGTCATTCAGCTTGTTTAAAGATTTTTTTTTTTTTTTCCCTGTGTGATTCAACTTTTCTTTTATGGACTCTTACTAAGTAAATTAATTTATGCATCTTCTTGAGAAGTCCATAGTCATTAGCTAATTTTTCATTATCTGCCAATGGACTCTTATCAGTGATGACATGAATTTACTGTTTAATTCCAGAGATTGTGAGTATGCATAATTTGATAGCTCGTTACAGTCATTCTTGATTCTGTTCTTACAGGCTCTGGATATGATTTTGGAAAAGATGAAGTCTTCGGGCTTTAAATTCTCTCAAGTCAGAGCTTTGTCTGGTGCTGGCCAGGTTAGTTTATAAAGAAAAAAACCAGTCTTACTGTATTTTTTCAACAGAGTATAATGTATAGCGATAAATTTCATTTAAATAATTGTATTGTCCAAGACCATAATGACATCAAGTAAGACCAAAGCTTCTGTATAAGCATCCATTAAAAGACACATTCCTCAGGGGAACTTAAAACCTGAAGCACACAAAGCAATCACTAGAAGGTAGTGGGAGTGGAGGGTGAGATTTATAGTGCAGTTGTTTAGATCAGTATAGTGCATAACTAGTTGGTTTCCTGTTGTTTAAATTCTTTGTACATACAGATTCTGAAATGACTGGGGTCATTTTGAGTTTCAGCATATCCAGGTGCTTGTGGAAATGGGGTAGAAAAAATAGTGAGGAGCGCTGTTTGCTAAAGGCATGGTAACATCCTGTTGAGCACAGTTGTTGTTGGCTAGGATAGAGATCTGCCTAGGAACAACAAAAACCAAATGATGATAGTCTTTGATGCAGAAATGACAAAGATGCTGCCATGATTTAGCCTGTAGTGCATAATGCCTTTTTTCTGAGATTTATAAAACCCATCCTGACATTTAGTCAGTTAGCCAGTCTCCTAGTATGCTGGTGAAACAAGGAAGTCTTTTATAACTTTAACGGATGATATTCAGGGTGAGGACAGCACCAAAGCGATAGCTAATTCTGACACATGAGGTTTAGGTTATTCATCTTGATATATCTGGGACTAATTAATCAAAACTCTTGCTTTGATCTCCATGTTTCATTGATTTCAGTTGAAAGTCTGAGCAAAGTGTCTGAAAATCATAGCTGGTATCAAGGCTCGGGTATGAATTCTTCAGTGAAACAGAAGTTAGGGATTGCCAAGTAACCCTAGCTTACTCAAGTGAAAAAAGGAAGTGTGCTTTCAGATTGCTCATATTCCATTTATTTTACCCATCCTCCAACAAGTTGGGGGTATCAGCTTGGTACTATATTCAGATTCTTTCAGGTAGAACAGCTTTCATTTAGTTGCCCCCTTCCAACCCACATTGTCTCTCTCCTTTTTCTCTTTGAAGAACCTTGTCTTTATGCTGCAGATCACTGCGGAGGTGCACTGATGTGCCAGTGTTTGTCCCAAAGAAGGGACAAACTTGGTCTTGATTGTCTGCAGAAATGGCAGAGAGATGTGAAATACAATCTGGATGTTGCTGTGGTCAAGTACTCTGTACCCAGGGGGTTCTGTGTGCACTTGGTGTCATCAGAACTATTAGTGGGTTCGCTGGATGGTGCTTTGCAGTTTGTCTAGGGTGTCCTGCAGGTGCATAACCAGAGATACCTGGCTTGAGGAAGCCACCTGAGAGATGGAGCTCAGATAATCTCAATATTATGCAGTCTGTTAGTGGTGAGTGGGGCAGGCATGTAACTGAAATAGCACAGAACTAACAGTCTTGAATGTGGAACCATGGCTACAGCTCAAAGAACCCTCAAATAAATATCTAATGCCATTAGCAGTGTAATAATAGTTCCCACTAGAAGTTGCTATAGTTCAGAATTGTCACTGTCTCTTGACTCCTACATTTTCTGGTTTAGTATATGCTTTGCTCAACCTTAAAGAGTCTTTTAATGAGGCACTTGATTTGAAAAGATGCATTTTTTGGTCCTGGTTTAGAGAGAGTTCTTTGTCCCTTAGACTTTGAAGTTCAGATCAGGATATGAACTTTGCAGCTTGGGGAGGTCATCTCCAACTTCTGTTTCTGTACTTTCTACAGCAACATGGGAGTGTGTACTGGAAAAAAGGAAGCATCGAAATTTTAAAGAATGCATCATCCAAACTGCCTCTACATCAGTCACTGAAGGTAAGGTGCATAAAAGAGCTCTGAAGGGAGAGGTACACTGTGCTTTGTCTGCTCTTTACACATTGCTTTTCTCCTTGCAAACCTTTTCTCTTGTTTGACTGAGTTGCATGCCCCTGCAGCATAAAGTGAAATGTACTGGTTATTCCTTCAGCTCCAGGGCTTTTGACATTTCCTTTTCTTCTGAGTGACAGTATATACTGCTTTAAAAGCTTACAGGTGCCAGTGGGTGTCCCAGAACCTTTCTGTGTCAGTCACAGCCTGTTTGTTCATTTAGGAAGTTTAATATTTTTGTAAACAACCTCTAAGTATTTTACAACTTTTTTTTTGGCGTGTGTGTGTGATTGGTAAGTTTTGAACATAGACTTGACAAACTTTTATTTAAAAAGAAAAGTAGGGAGGAATCAACTTTCCTCTTGAAGACCCTTACCTTCCTTACTTCAAGATCAGAAAGGACAGTTGTATGTTGAAAAGGAGACATTTGTGTAACTGATCTGTTAAATGATTAATTTTGGAAATAGCTCATCTGTGCAAAACTCATGGAAATGGAATTAAAATGCTCTCTGGTGATGCACTAAGCCTCAGTTGCATTTCCAAATGGTTATGCCAACCTTTAAAGAGAAATCTGTTAGTAGAGCTGTGGAAAGATAATCTGATTGTTTAGAGAGGAGTTCTAAAAAGCTGGGCTAAACTTGCATAAAAAGGCCCAGGGCTTTGGCTACCAAAGGAGTGTACTGAGACATGGTGCTGCAGGTTATGTCAAGTAACAGCAGAAAACAGCATGTTGCTTCCCTCTGGTGTGAAGTTTGGGTTAAACTTTTCACCACTGACCAACATGCTGCCCAATATATGCGTTCCTGTAATTATTGGGTGGAGACCAGAAGGCCCATCAGAGAACTGAACTGTGAGCTGATACGTATGTCTGCTGTATTGCTATTACTCTAGCAGGGGCTTCTTAGAGATCAGACTTACTAATAAAGGATGTTGTTTGTTGCAGGCTTGTTTTTCTGTCAGTAACAGCCCCATCTGGATGGATTCTAGCACAGCTTCCCAGTGCAGCGCTCTGGAGAAAGCCGTGGGGGGAGCACAGCACCTAGCGAGTATTACTGGTTCTCGAGCCTATGAAGTAAGGAGTGGATGGGAAGAAAGTCCTCAGCAGAGTCTTGTGATAGAAACAATTTGCCATTACGGTGGTACTGCAGCAGATTAATGACCAGCCATTAACTATGAAAGGGAGAATTTTTGAAGAAACTCTAATGATACCGTGCTTTGCAGTAGTCTCACAAAGGAAGATGTGGAAATTTTAAAGTGAAATTAGGCAAACACTGGAATTTTGCTGCAGGAGGCAGCTGGGGTGAGCTGTTACATTTGGCCAGTGGTTCTGGAATACAGTGTTTGGTCGCCATGCTTATAGTCTCAGGGCCTTGTTCTCCCCCGCGGAGCTCCTGTGCAGCCACATTTCCATTGGGATGGCAGTCCAGTTTGTGTTACAGGTTTACTTGCGGTTATGACCCCTCTGTTTGTGGATCCCCGCTCTAGGTTACTTCTGCAATTAAAAGATTGGCCTTTTAATGTTCCCTGAAGGCTAACAAGCAGCTGTTGACCTAAGAGAAGCGTTTCAGAAGTTTGGGATGCTATCGGAGAGTACTCTGTCACTTGTCTCCCCTTCCTGATGCTTCCCTCTCTTTTAACTGTGACAATGAGTTATGGAGTGGGAGCAGGGCTGCCCTCCAGGCATCTCAGCACCTGGCTACGCTTGCTGTTGGTTCAACAGAATAAGGCTCTAACCTCCCAAATTGCTGATTCTGTTTTTGAATTATCATGCCAGATTTATGGCCAGTGTTGAAATCAGACTTTGCATACCACTAACAGTTTATTTTTAACTTGCTAAAGGTTAAGGTTTCCGTGTCAGAAGCTTTTTGTTATTTGACATAATGCATGGATGAAAAATAGTTATTCTTATAACTATTATCCTGTGCTGGAGTTGCTTCTTTCAGTATGAAACTTCCTGCTTTGCTCCTAATTCTCCTGCCTCAGAGAGGTATATAGGTTGGGTAGCTTAAACTTTTTCAAGGATTTGAAGGCAGCATTTGAATTGTGCTGGTTCCTGTGCAGAGAATAAGTGTGATTCATTCCATTGAACTGTCATTTCTGAAATGTAAATTATGGATAGTAATGCTTTTTCACATGCTTTTTTTTCAAAAGGTGAGCAAAATTCTCATAATGAGACTATGTATTATAGCCTGTTTAGCGCAGATTGCCTACTGTGCACTGACTTTCATCATGCATCAGGCAAATTAAATATCCAAAGTGCAATGTACTGAACTCATTACACAGAGTTAATGATTATTGACTCCATTTAGGGTTTGTGTTTCTAAGCATTTGCATTTCTTTCTCAGCGTTTTACAGGAAACCAGATAGCAAAGATTTACAGCCAGAATCCTGAAGTCTACATGCAAACTGAGGTTGGGTCAACTTCAATATGCTTATTGGAAAACACAGTTGAAAATATTTTAAAATTAATTTTGTGGGGGTGTTTTTGCAGTCTTTTTTTACTAAAGGGTGTTTTGATTCTTGTGTTTGATTTTAAGTTGAAAATTGAAAATTTGATTTTTTTTTGTTAAATTATTAGTCATTAGGCAGATAAAAATTGGGCATCAGTTCTATCTTGAATGTTATATTTAACATAGCAGGCTCCATTGGATCTCACCTTTGTGGAAGAAGTTTTAAAAAACACTTTCATTTTGGTGATAACAAATTGTATTTACAGCAGTTTGAACACAAGCGGGTAATTAAGCACACGGTTGAAATTTTCACACTTAGAACTGGCCATTTACATGCAGAAACGTGATTGCTCTGCCATACAAACTGGCATCTGTGCAGATGTGCACAGGAAAAAACCTGCCATTGATTCTAGACTTTTTTCGTAGTTCTTCCCTTGAGAAGCTACGTTGATTCTATTATTACAAATGAATTGCATTGTGTAGTTGGTTTCCTTCTGATTTTTAATTTTCAGAAATCAGCTTGCAATTCCATTATTGTTTCAGTTTGTTGAGTCTGTATCTATCTGTGACTGAAATGCCATGGTTTGAAGCAAGGTAAAAACTCCATGCAAATATGATGTAAATGAGAGAAGGACTCTTGTCCTGTGATTAGAATATACCAAACTGTGAAGTCAGGCTGCTCCTGTTTTTGTATTACTGCAGTTCTTGATAGCATTGATCATAATTTTTTTGTGGTTTTTAAAATCTCGCCCCTGCATGAAACAGTTAACAGGAAGTGAGTTGCAAAGTTGACTGTATTTTGTGGGAGAATGCTTAATTTTTAATATTTTTTCTTTCTTAGTATGTTTTCATTATATAACCTTTACAGTAGTAAGGTATGGGATGAAACAGAATACTAATACAGTCTGATCATAGGCTTAAGACTAAATTTAGAGAAAGATACATTAATGGGGAGGAAGTGGGTCCATGGAACTGAGAACTAGACAGACCAATTTTAGACTTTGAGGGCTGGTTGCATTGACGGCACCTTTTAGCAATAAAGGATACGCAAGATGTTGTGTTCAAGCACAAAATATCTCTTATGCCAGAGTTGCTTTTGGGGACCCTAAAGAAGCACTTAGCAGCTTGGCAGTCTCAATGACATGTGGAAGGTGGATGTTTTTCTGTCTGTAGGTCAGCTTGCTAAACTGGCTGATTCACAGTTTTAACTTCATCCTTTTCCTTCCATTTCAGGCAGCTGGTGCCCACTGGGGCACCACAGAAGGTAGGCCTTCGTTATCTAAGCACAATATGATATATTCTTGGGGAGAGATGCATGAAGAGCAAGTGCATCATTAAGTTCCCTGGCCATTATAACCACCTTTTAGAGCTCTGGCTATAGTCTGTCTTTGAATGCTGTGTGAAACAGTGGTTTTGTGATCATTAATAAAAAACCTGTCACTGCTGCCTCACTCGGCCAGTAGATATGTGATTCTGATTAGTTATTGGGTGACAATCATATTTCTTCTGAGTTAGTCAGAGCACACAATAAGGAATTTGTCAGCTTTTATGCCAGCTTCTTGGGAACAGATAATACTTGATCATGCAGAAAGCTTGGCGGTAGCCAGTTAACTTGGTAGTTTGTATAGCAGATTTGAAGTGGAAGCAAGTTTGTGCTGGATCAGTGCGTTGTGTCTTGAGGCTGGGGCATTTTGGGGCCAGTATTAGAAGCCCTACAGCTGGATTTAATGCCCTGTTGGAACATACCCTGAGGCAGAGCTGCAGGTAGTGGATCAGTTCAAAGCTGATTATTACAGGCTCCTGGGAGTAACTCCTGTGAGGTCTGAGGTCTCAGCTGGCAGAAAGATAGTTGTTCATGTAAAGGTGCTAGCAGAGCCTTGCCAGAGCTGCTAAAAAGCTTACAGACCTGCACTCTGGGTGGACCAGCGCATGGTTTCTAGGCATTTTCCCTGTCATCAACAATACAGGTGCCTTTGTTGGTTTGTTTTTTTTTTTTTTTATTAGTAAGTGTTTTTCCTTGAAATGAGATTCTGTGATACACTGAAGTTGTGAATTAATTCATGATAGCATAGAGTATGCTAATATACTAGGTGTATTTTTCATGTTTCAGAATGCAAAGCTATTAACAGCTTTTATCATGGGGCTACTTTTAGATTGCTATCTGGTATATTACTTAGGCAGTAAGAACTGAATAATCCTAGGTGCATTTTTGTGTGCTTTCTGTGCCTAACATTAAGCATCTATTAACATTTACTGCTTCCAATTACTTAATAATTTACTTTCTTTGAAGTGGATACTGATGGGACTTACTATCTCACACTTTTTCTTTCAGAGAATCTCTTTGGTTAGTAGTTTTGCAGCTTCCCTTTTCCTAGGAGCTTATGCACCCATTGATTACAGTGATGGTAAGTGCGTGGGCTTTTCTCGTAGTACAATTCAACAAGGAAATTTTCCTCTCCATCCCCACCTTACATAAAAGGGGGACAAGGTCTCTGCTATTTATTTTCAGTCTTTAAACTTTAATGACAAGTATATTAGATTTTAAGCTAAGTTACTCCTTTCAATTTATTGTTACTCTTGACAGTGCTGTCAGCTGTGGTTATTTATCCCCATCATAGTATGATTCCCATTTCTATAAAATGGATGCACAGAACATATTCTTGAATGAAATTGTACCTTTTTTTCATTACTTTATGATGTATAAAGGAACGTTGAAATATGTATTTAAAACCATGAAAAAGTTGTGGATTTTTAGGCTAGACTTCATAGTTCTGCTATTTGTTCTTTGGTTTTGCTGGTTTAGCTCTGAGTTGCACAGGATGTGAACAAGATGTATATTGTGATTATTTTTCCCCCCACCTAACTGGAGTATGGATCTGCAACAGAAATATCTTTTCAAAATGAACCAGAGAAAAAAGCATAAACCAAGCAAAAAAATCCTAAACTCAGTTAAAAAAATATTTAACCTTCCATATCTCTCTATTCATCATAACAAAGACAAAAAAGTGACAAGGCTAGTGCATCTCTTTTCTGTTGTGTGTTATCTCAGTTATCCAGCTTTTAAATGGCAATTTTAAATGGCAGTTACAAAGGAAACCATTTTCCTGGGAGCTGTGCTGTTATTTTTAAATAGCATTTTTGATTCCTGCTCTGAAACTAAGAGAAGATATATTTCAGAGCTGAAAGGTTAGATAACAAGGCTCTCTAAGGAATTTTTACATTATAGAGCCATAGTTGACACCCATGTGTTAAGACCAACTCATTTTTCTTCCTTCATTGTTCCATCAAAGCTCATAGGAAAAGGCATGACACCTCAATTTTAGCTAATGGACAACTTATTCAATATCAGATATCTCAGTTATACTAGAGACCTTAAAAATTGTAAGGCAATCCATGCTTATTTTGCAGCAGTTGTGAGATTATTACATCTGTCTTCTGGTCCTGTACTGTTAGCCATGTATTTTCACAGGTGAATTTTATTTTTTTTGTGTATTATTGGCAACAGTAACTCTTTGGAGATTTGCACTTTACTAGGCCCAAATACTGAGCACTTCAGCCACTCGGCAACCCATAGAACTAGCTCCATATACTGTGTTTCAAAGAGAGATGGTGAGATCTTCAAGGTACCTTTTCTGATAAAGAAATATGTTGATTTTTTATTTCTCAATGAGAGTGAAGTGTTAATTTTGATTCAAATGTTTAAAATTATAAGCATTAAAAAAAATATTGTTTTGGGATTGGTTTGGTATGGGTTTGGTTTTTTTTTTTTTTCCCTTTGGTAATGTTACCTCTGCCTTTTCTACTTGGAAGCAAGTGGGGGAAACTCCTGCTTCTTCAATTTCAGGACATGAAAATTTCTGTGTTTGACTGAAAACCAAAACATTTTAAACTAACGAAAATGAAAATTTACTCCATTGGAAAATTTTCTTAGAAAATATATTGCATTTTTCGAACAGCTCTAGGAGAGCCTGTTCTGTTATACCTCTGGATGTTTATGCATGTAAGATTATTAAGTCTTTGTGTAAAAAAAAGGTAAGAGAACTAAGCAGGATGTTATAGTTCTATTTGCAAGACAAAAGATCTTTTGGCATTGTAAGCTATATTTTGTCTTGTTTGTTCCTTTCTTCTGTTAACATAATAAGAGAGAATTCTAATTCCAGTAATAAAATGTAATTATAAAGTATGCAGTAGTTATTTGGATCCAGCTAAAAACTTGTTTTCTTGTCATTTATCATTTCTCGCAATTCACTTGATCTTTTATATTGTACCTGTATATTATAGTTTAAAATGCATCTCTCAAAATAATGTTCAGATAATAGACCTATTCTTCATTTCTGTAGGTTTAACTTCAGGTCATATCGTCTTTAAAAGACCCTGTCAAATTGTTTAGCTCTGCACAATAACTTATCTCTCTAAATTTGCAGGTTATTGTAGGAAATGTGCTATTTAGTTTCAGGATTTTTTTTTTCTTTTTCTTTTTAGAGGTCCAATCTCATAAGGTTCAAATCACTCCTCGTGAATGGCTGAGCACCCTGGGTGATTGATTTAAAAAAAATGAAATTACATTCTGGTGGAATGAAGAATGATTTTCATTTGTATTGTGCAGATGTTAAAAGTAAGATACATTTGGGACCTAAACAACTTGAACACTTGAGGCATTGTTTCTTTTAGAAGACACCTTAAAGAACAGCAATTCAGCTCTTGACCTAGAGAAGCTTTATCTTTTGAAATGCTTTTCTAAGAGCCTTAGGCAAATCATAGCTTAGCATACTTGTTTTTGTTGTTCTATCAAACAAGGATGCTTTGAACTGAAGCCTTTTCAAAAGGAAGCGTGGTGGGCTGAATTTACTCCTAATGTAGCTTGCGTGGTGTCAGCAGAGTTACACTGCTTATGATTTTAGCTCACTGAAAAGGCAATCCAGAGTGCTGTAATACAGATACACTTAACTGTTTATAAATTTATGTGAATATTGATCTTTAGTTTGTTGATTAATAAAACCAGTTAGTCTGCATCGTTTGGTCTTTATAATGAAAGTGTTTTTTTTTTTTCCCCCCCCCCCCCCCCCCAGTGTTGAAGCACTTATACTTTTGTATATGTAGTAAATATTAGCAAGTCCTGATTGTGCTTCTGGTCATTTTATGTTAAAAGTCAGTGATGCTTGCAGTGAAATACTGAATCTTATTCATCCACGTATTGATCCTTTCCTCAGTCCTTACTAGACCACGGCCTTGGCTATTGACCTTCATTGCTGATGGAGTATCCGTTTGGAGTGACAAGTCGAAGAGCTGCCTTTGATTTTTGTTTTTTTTTTTTCCCTTTAGTTCTCAGATTATTACTTACTTTATATGTTGAACTTAGTTGTGTAGATCGTGACCAGAAGTGCTTAAGTTAGGAACTTGCTGTATGTCACTCCTCATATAATCAAAGGAGAAAGAGAAGTGGTTCCAGGGAGCGTTCAGCTCTGGTTTTTATTTTCCACTGACTGGAGATTCTCATGCAGGTGCCTGCAGTTGGATAGAATGTATCCAGGCCAACAGATTAATAGTTCTTGTAAAACAGTTGTTTCACATCTTTTAAATGAGTTTCTGAGGGCGGGGTAAATTAGCTCATCTTTCTTTTCTCAGGGCATATTAAAGTCTTTGTGCCACTATATCTACCAGTCAATAAACTGAAGTGTTGTTTCTGTATAATATAAACTTAGACCTTTTCAGTTATAAAGGTTAGTGTTTTTCCTGTTTTATGCAGGAAAGATTGGAGGCTGTCCTTATGTCTAGCAAAATTGCATTAGAGGATACTGGTTAAATGTTTCTCTAGGCTTGCAGGGTGGAGAGAGGAAAGGATTTTTTTTCCTAAAAAACCACAGAAAACAACAACTAACCTTTCTCTAGTAAAATTCCTATTTATTTAGAGATTCTGTTACCCACTGATTAATTTAATTTAGCGAAGGGCTTCTTGGCCTTTTAAATTAGGGACTTTTCCAGGAAAATTTATAGATGTATGTATTTCCTCATAGAAAGCCTTGTTATGCCTGAGAGCTTGGGACTCAAGGCTGCTCACACCCTCTGCCTCTGGGAAGTGCAGACAGTGATGCTGGGTTCAGTTTACCCTGGAAGGACTCAGTTTACCCCTGGAAGGAGGGGATGGCTAGATTTAAGAGTGTTCTCGCATAGAGAACTGAGAGAAGCTGGAGTAAATCTTACCATCTTTCCTTCTCTGTGGGTGGTAGTGATTTTGACAGCAGAAAAGGAAAATGCACCTTTTGCCTGTGGAAGGTGTGGTGCACTTTGTGGTCTCTCAAATTCCTGCTGTAGAATCATAGGCCAAATAAACCGGTGCATAATTTAGTGTGTTTAATTTGCCTGAAATGGGATTGATTGATTTTTAGTAAATTTAATTCTATTTTTTATGTTACTAAGTATAATCCAAATATCCTACAGTTTGGCTTGGGTTATTCCAGTATCCCAGCTGGAGTGTGTCACATCTTCTGTTCACAACGCTCTGTGAAGCACTAGGTCCATACTTTGTTGATGGTGCTTAGGATTGGACTGCACAAATATATACTTTATTTATAAACGTTATTAAACTCATTATTAAGCCCATGTGAAAAAGGCTGCTGGGAGTTGGGGAGCTCATTTGTGCATGCGTAACCAGCAGTAGTGTATGTGTGTGGAGTGTGTTGCGGGCGTGCGCCCTTCTTCAGAATAAGAGCACTGCTAGAGCCTTGTGATGTGCTGGCTAAGATGTGGGTTGCATCCCTTTTCTTCTGTGTCCCAGCATTGCAAGCATAGTCTTGTTCCACAGACACTGCATGTGGGGTCAACTTCACCATCTTTGTGTTTTAAAAAGCTTAAAGATGTACTGAATGGAAGCAAATTTCAGGTTTTCCACTGTGCTCAGCTGAGAATATGCCTGTGTTTCTGAGATAAGTCGTGGGCTAAACAGTCTTTGAAATGAAAATGTTGTTAATCTAGAATAAGACTAACATGTCCCTGAACAGTACTAACCAGAAACACATACAGATTTTCAAGTGTAATGAAATGTGCAATTAAAGGCATCTTAGAAACATAAGCAAGGGATGTGGAGTGCTCAGTATGTAATGTAGATTCGGCCACTAACCAACTTCAATTAACTTTTAAACCAGCAATAAAATATTGAGGAAGAAGCAATGAGAAACCAAACCAAAACTGCAAAGGCCTTCCTCAAATCTAGTGATAGTTCTGGTGAGGAAATAGGTGACCAAATCAGTTATTTAGGTTTTTGCAACCTGTAATTCACTTCACAGAATCTACACTTTAGAGATGTTGCATACTTGCAGGTGTTACAGATTTCAGTTGAGCTGTTCAGCATTTCTGAAAATCATGACTTTGGTATTCAAAGCTGGACTTCCCAAACTAGCCTTGAAATTAGACGCTACATTTGAAAATTTGACCTCTTGCTTTTTTTTTGGACTTCTAAGCCTTTATTTTGTCATCTCTGAAGAAGGAAACGTTGATACGGAGGCAGATTAGTCAGCATGGACTTAGATGCTTATATGATACTACTCAAAGGTAGGAGTAGGACTCAAAGGAGTAGTGTAAAGCCATACCACCCAGGGGGGAATTTCTTCATTTGTTAGGTCTCTGGTGAGCACAACATACCTTCATGTGATATTGCTGCATCACCTTTAGATAGCTGTAGTGAAGTCTTTGTCTAAGGTGGAAGATTTGGGGAGGAGCTGATGGGGAGGCATCCATGTTCTTCTTTTTGCTCTTAATTTGGGAATAACTGAATTGTCTAGTGCATTGTGCATCAGAGAAGCCTTTCCTGCTACCTTTAGAGGTGAAAGCTATCCAGAGGCTGAATTCTCAGTATCCTTTATGCTTAGAAGAGCTGAAACCATTCTCTTTGAATGTAAAATATGCATCTGTGAATTTTCTGTTGCCTGTAACAAGGTGGAATTTTCTGATACAGTACTGTCTGAGGTTTAATGATATGTGCTTCCTGTTTTGATCTGTCTTGTAGGTTCTGGTATGAACTTGCTGCAGATTTGGGAAAAGGTATGGTCAGTGTCCTGCCTTAATGCTTGTGCACCTGGATTAGAGGAGAAACTAGGATGCCCTGTACCATCCCATTCAGTCCTGGTATGTGCCTGTCTAGAAGAGCTGTAAGCAAAAAAATAAGGCTTTGTGCTGAGAGTTCTGCTAACAGCACTTCCTTGGAGTGTACTTGTGTGTGCGCGCAAGCGTGCGTGCACAGTTATCCTCAGAGCTATGCTGCTTGATTTAATATTTCCAGGTGTGTTGTGAATGTGTATGCCAGACCAGAAACAGACATCTTTGAAAGCTGCTAGCTGGCATCTGTCATAGCTTTCATTGTTGATCTCCCTGGATTCTTGCATGCCCTGGGCTATGATGAGAGAAGTTTTGGTAGGTGCTCCAGTGATAAGAATCTTTGGGGTCCCCTCCCATGCCCACAAGCACCTGGTCACTGCAGAACTGTGCACAGTATTTATTAATGCGGAAACAGAACCCAACATCTGCATTTCTTGACAGAGACCTTGTTTTAAACTGTTTGTAGAGTTAATGAGGTAATCTTTGTGAATAATTTGGGATATTTAAAGCTCCTCAGTTCATGTAGCATAATGGTGAAATCAAATCAAGCTGCACATCTCTTAGAGTAAATGAATTTAGTCTTACTACTCAGCACAAAGAGAGCTATTGCTTTAGCTGGTGCACATGTAAGAGTGTAGATACCCATCACCTGATCCCTCTGTATTCAGTGCTGATCTTCTGTGATGGAGAGGAACATACAAAAAATCCTCATAGATGTCCTTGTATTTTTTATGGATTTTTTTCTTCTCCTGTTTTTTCTCTATGGCTATCAAGTGTGGCTTAAAAAAAATACAGTTCTTGACCCCTAAACTAATAGGGGTCATTTTGCAGCGTTTGTTGTTGTGATGTATATTAATGTTGTGCTTCCTGTTATGTTTGCATTGAATTTCTAATTTCTGTGCATTAATATTCACGTATGTGTGCAAAGCAGATGGATGTGTTCATGTTACTTGATGTGAATAAGTGGAGAAGGACCCAAAGCTAAAATGCTACTATTTACTTAACCTATTTCAAAATCTAATCAGAGGGTATTTCTGTGAGGTTCTAAACAACAAAAAAAATTGGGCTAAAAATCTTTAAAGTATTCATTCATACCTTATATACACAGAAATGATTGTGGTAGCTGCTCTGGGGTTTTTCAGTTCTGTGTAACAACACGTTATGTCATACATTGCAAGATTACTTTCCATTTTTTGAGCTTTTTTTCCTCTCTTTTTCTTTCTTTCCTCAGGGGCCCATTTCTCCATATTATAGTCAGCGTTATGGCTTTAGCCCAGACTGTAAAATAGTAGCATTTACAGGAGACAATCCAGGTGAGATGATTAAATGTGTAAGATTCAGTGAATATGATTATGTACGTACTAAATTTCTAAATCAATTTCATTGGTTCTCAGATACTCCCTATACAGTGAAAGAACATCGTGTTTATCAGCATTAATACCTTTTACCAACAGCCTTCCATCACTGGTTCTTCTGAGATATAGACATCTTGGATAAGCTGGGTATGACAAATGAATTCTCTTTTGCCTAGTAATTAGAGGTGATTTCATTTGCCTCTTGATAACTTCAGTTTTTGTTTGCCTGTCCCTAAGAAACTATTCTCACTATGAACTGCTAACCTTTTAACTTAGAAAATATGAGTTAAAAATTGCTGTATATCTTTTCAAGGAAAAAGGTGGAGATGGACCTCATAGGATTTCTCTAAGAATTAGAGCTGTCCTTTTGTTAGACTGATAGATCTCAGTATAAGGGAAGGTGTTAGTTTAGGGTCAGTTTTTTGAATCCTGGAGACTGTTTTAGTATAGAGCAAATTTGTCTGTTTCTCAAGACTGTGAAAAATACTTATCCGTATTAGAGTAACATGTGCAGGTTTGAATAAAGATGGCGGCTTCATCATGGTATATTTTACATTCATATTCTGGGAGATGGTTAAACTCTGCATTTCCCAAAAGTCCAGTTTTTCTTCGAGAGATTCAAATCTAGCTTAGTCCAATAAATATGTGAGTAGTCTGATCTAAGTGGGAGTTTCTCCTTTGAAGTGTGTTGTTAAGTAAGGGTCCACTGTATTTAAAACTTGAATACATAAAACATTAGATAATCATGAAGTTCCACAGTCTTTTGTCTTGAGCATTCTGATTTTATTAAAAATCACTCCCTCACCCGAATGCTTTGCCTGTCTTTTACGGTGTATAGACCAAGGCCATCATGAGCATATTTGCCATTTATATTGTACTTTGAGATGGTCAGCACGATGATGTCTCATACAACATGGTATGGTTGAGTCAAAAAAGTGACTTTTTTCTGATATTCTGACTTTCTGCTTTCAGCATCATTGGCAGGGATGAGACTTCAAGAAGGAGATATTGCAGTAAGTCAAAACATACTCCTGAAAACTGTCCATATCCCTGAATAAATGAAATATATGAAATGTAAAATAGCTGTAGGTTATCAGTTAAATTTATCTGCTAGTGTTGATTTTCTGTTTATTAGATTCACGCTTCTTTTGTTTCTATCTGTAAGCTGCCTGAAAGATTTTAAGTAAACTCTTGTGAGTATTTTTAACTAATGCTCCAGACATTAAAACCTAAGTCTCTATCTAGTATGTATTTCACTGGCGTGACAACCTAAGTCAGAGCTAGCTTCAACATGAATCCAATTGACTTAATGTGTAATTTAAAAACAATTAGTGGTAATAACAAATGGTTTTAATTTAATTTCTGTATTGCTTCCCATGCACATTGTGATAATGCTTCAATTATTTTTTTTTTTTCCCCCTCCAGATTAGCCTTGGCACGAGTGACACATTGTTTCTGTGGATCCAAGAACCAACTCCTGCCTTAGAAGGTCATATACTCTGCAATCCTGTTGATTCTCAAACATATATGGCACTTCTATGGTAATATAATTTCTTTTTGTTCATCTGGGATCAATAATATACATTTCTTTCTCTATGTTAGTGCTTTTTATTTCTTTTTTTCAAAATGATAATGAATAGAACATTCAGCATTCTGTACGGTATATGGCAATTTACTGCTGAAATATTTGCATCAACATGATAGTATTCCTATTGTTTAATTTGAGTAACTGAAACTGCAGAGTTGTGGAGGATAAATTCTCATGGCAATAAAAAGCTGAAATTATTTTTACGTATACATAGAGCCAGTTCACTATGAATCTAAGGTAATACATTTAATATACAGGAATAACAATCTTCTGAAATACAATAATGTGAAATGTCAGAAGCTTGACCAGGCTGCATAACTTCTGTGCTCTTCTAGTGGTCCACAGGGGACATAATGGGGTAGGTGAAGATTCCCTTTTCAGACAAGACTATAGTCAGTGCTGTTCAGGGATGTATTAGGCTGTGCATGTGGAAAACACTGAGATCTCAAGAAACCCATCTGAGAGAATGATCCTCATGGTAGCTTTTGGCTGCTGTGATTCAGGAATTATTTGGCCCCTCGCCAGCCAAGTAGGTGGAAAGGTGGCCTGAAGCTATGCTTTCCCTCACTGAGTCACTGTATTCAGGGTAAAAACTTCCAAACCAAGTCATAGGGTTTAGGCAAATAGTTAACAAGTAATATGCAGATAAATTTTGTGTGTAAATCCCCTGGATTGTAGGTGCTTGAAACTCAAAACTTCAGCAAAGCTCAAATCTGCCTTTTAACTGTAATGTTGAGTCTTACCTGTACAGTAATAGGAGGCTGTGAATGACAGTGGGAACAGTGTTCATGAAGTTGAGTTCAAAAGCATGATGTCAGCTGCAAGTTACTGAGTTTCATAGTATGATTTCCCAGCAGTTGGTTGGGTTGGTTTTTTTTTTAAAGTAAGTTTTTCATTCAAATTTCTCTTTTACCCTATTTTTTCCCCACTTTTGCTTTGTAAAAGAGCTATATAAGCAACCTGTTTGTAATAGGAAAGGAGGCGCTGAGGCATTTTTCTGAATAACTGTTATACCGCCATTCTTTTACTGCAGCTTAACATGTGCAGAAGGCCAAACCTGCCTTTCAGAACACAAGATATTTCTGTAGCTATGCAGATATAAAGAGTTCCTGTTCTTCCTGCCTAGCCATTTCTGTCCTGACACTGCCCCTTTTACACCAATGCCCCTTCATTTCTAGAATATTAGAGTTAATAGGGGACCCTCAGTTAGTAGAAAAAGAGTGCCTGAGCTACCAGGCAGAGTATTTGTACAGAAAACTCCACTAACTTCAGCTGCTGCTACTGAGCAAGTTCAGTAATTTCCTTGCCATCTTTCTGGATATTTCTCTGCCTTTCCTGCTGAGTTGTTCTGATAACTCCGTGCTGGAGAGTATTCAGACTGCTTTCTTCTGGGTCCAAGTCCAATGCGGCAGTATTTTGCAGAAGTGTTATATTCACAGAGATGGCAAAGGAGGTGACTGCATAAAGGGTGCAAAGACTATAAACACTGAACAGATGCCTATTTTACAGCATGGTTTACTGGCTCTGGACCTTAACCGTGCAGATGCAGCTGTGGTGCTTTCCTTTGCCAGATCCTGGCATGGAGCTAGACTTCCTAAGTCCTGTTGGACCCAAGCTGGCTCCATACCGGTACTGTGCTCCTGAAATCATGAATGCAATGTAGAGACACTCTTGCTTCTCCTTGCAGAGTCATCTCAGAGTGAGGTTTTTAGTGCTGTGTCAGAGTACTTCTCTGAGGAGATGTCTTAGCTGTTCAGAGCTAGCCTGGGTTTAGTGTGGCCTGCCAGAGTGGATCTAAGCTGGCTCATTGGAGAGACATGTACCAACATCTGTGCACTGCATTCCTCAACATGTCCTGTAATATTTGTTTTCTTTCTTACCTAGTTTTCTCCGTCTCTATCTCTTTCCATAATGAAGAAGTGATTGTATCTTTTAGCTTGCCCAGCTTAATTCAGCTGATACAATAAACACCAATATGGAGTAAAACAACAAATTGCTTTAAAAATCTAGAGCCAAATGTTTTGGGAAATGCGTATGGTATGTTTGTGTGTTTCAGTTTTAAGAACGGCTCTCTGATGAGAGAGAGGATCAGAGATGATTGTGCTTCAGGCTCCTGGGATGAATTCTCTAAAGCCTTATCATCTACTGTTGCTGGAAACAATGGAAACTTGGGTATGAGCCTTAGCAGGGCTTGGGAGTTCCAGGGGTTGCTTAGACACATACTTGAATGGGTGTTGTACCAACTTTTTACTTGGGTCATGATAAAGGCCAAGAATTAAGTTAACCAGAGCGAGGGAAATTCCTAATGTGTACTTAGAAATGCTCTCTTGGCAGGCTAAGTGTCATGATAGTATTTTCCTTCAGTATTCACTAAGAAAATTATATTTATGGAGCTCTTTTGGTCATTGAAAGGGTGTTAGCAGCATCTTAGCTGTAGAATGTTTAAAAGTAGTAATTTCTGAAGGAGGCTTTCATTAAAGTTTGTTTCTTTTTCTGAAGACTCAAACCAAGTGAATTAAATAGCTCCATATTATTTCTTTCTCGGTTGTTAGAATCTTGTTCACGCATGTGAACAAAGCAGTAATGTCAAATGATACCCAGATTTCCTGCATTTTCCCCAATGTATGTCACAAGAGTTATTTCATCCCTGTTTTTTCCCCACATTATGGTAAGTGAATGAAATGAAACAAAATGATGATGGAGGAAATATTTTGAAATAATATACATAAACCCATGTATTTAAGTTTTATATTATTTTCTTTCCTATGGTTTAACATTCTGCAAGTGTAGTATATAGCTCTGAATTAAGTTATTGAAAAGTGAGCATATGTGTAATCAAGATTAAAATTTAACCATTGCAGAGCTGGATTTGAAATCATCACCATCATCCTAGATCTGAATTGATATCCATAAAATGAATTTAAGAACTGTAGGTAGCAAAGTTTTTAAATGTAGATATTTAAGCTATAGAAGACTTCACTCTTTAGGAAAGTGAATTTAAGATAGTTTCTTGACACTGTGAGGTTAGCACTGGTCTTTAATTTTCAGAAGCTCTGTTATGTTTTCTGTCAAATCCAATCTCTGTGGGGTATTAAAATGACCAGGAATCTCTTTTCACTAGAAGACAAATCAATTCAGGTGTTTCAGAAAATGGGGAGAAGTTATTCCAAAACTCAGAAGTCAGCCACTTTAGACAGTATTAAAAAAATTGGAAGTTGATGAAAATATTGTTACTGATTTGAAGGATACCAGGACACTGCCTTAAAGTTTAAAAATTTGTATTATAATATATTCACTTGGATATCTCAATCCTCTGTAAAATGGGTGTTTTGTGAAAGTCATCGTTAATAACCTGTATGCTTGGATAACCTCTGGGTATACATGTAAAAATACAGTAATGTCCACAGTCTGAGTTCCTGAGGGAAGCAGAGCAAAGAAGTAACTGGTTAGGCACCTTTCCTTGTGTCACTTGTTCCCTGAACTCCCTTTTGTGTGAGAAGATGCCCCTGCAGAGGTTTGGAGATGGGCAGAGGCAGCTGCTAAGGTGAGGTTGGGATAATGAGAGTAACAGGGGTAGCAAATAGGGAAGGAGGAGGAGTGACTGGGATGGGGGTCCTGATGCGTCTGGGGGGTACCTGAGAAAGCTAATAAAACCAGCAAGTTTACCTGAAGACCTCATCTGCCAGATTCAAAGTGGCAGCAGGGTCAGAAAAAAAATTTTGGGACATACATTCTCCTGGCAGGGCCTGCAGATCTGTAACCCACAGTGTTGCTTACTGGCAGTTTTTTGGAATGTTAAACTAAAAAGGTTATGTGTGCTAAAAGCACGGTACTGTTTTGGGGTTTTTTTGGCTAGTAATCGTAGGGCTCCTAGGGCAGCGTACTCTTGTTCCCAGGTCTGAACCTTAGAAACTCTCCTTAGTTTCTTAGCTATTCTGTTGAGTTTTTCTGTCCTCACTTTCTTTTTTTTGGTCTCCTTTCTTGAATATCTTTTCTGACCAACCCTTCTTGCCATCAACACAAAAGAAATCTTTTTCACACTTTTTGTCTAGCTGTCTACAAACCATTACTGCATTTCTTCAGATCTCATCAAAACTATTCAGAGACCAGCTCTGCTTCATGATTTAAAATATCTGATGTTCTCTAATAAGCTCATGAAATCTAATCCAGTGCATGAAGTGTTCCAGTATTCCTGTACTCTTCTTACTAACTTAACCGTTTTTTCTGTTTTGTTTTTTTTTCTTTCACCCTTGCATATGACCTACTGAAACTATTTCTAGGATGTGTTATATATTATCTACTATTGCTTGTGTGTGTGTTCTGGTGGATATGTGCTCTTTGGTAGGCTTGTTGCTTATTATATTGTTTAGATGCATAAAACCAGACATGCTTAAATCCATATTGCTGTAAACTGAAAGTAGTTAAATTCAATAAATGTGTGGACTGAAATTGGTTAAGAAACAGACTGTGTGGTGACTCAAATGTCTTTCCAAATACGTGATAAACATTTATTATCATTTTAGCTATGTGCTGAAATAAGATTTCAACTTTGGGCTAGGAGCAAGCATGATGCTCTTTAATGTTCCTTGATGCAGGTTTCTACTTTGATGTGATGGAAATTACTCCTGAAGCAGTTGGGATTCACAGATTCAACAGAGACAACCAAAAGGTAGTAATAATCTACTTAATGTCTCAAACCTTGAAGGAGTACTGTCAAGGCTTGAAATCTTTGCCATCATCTTTTTTGTTTTGTCTAAGATACTTGCTTTCAAGTTTCATTTATCGATGCAAGTCCCTGGGATGATTTTCATAAGGAAGTATTTGGTCTGTAGCTTGAGAATATCTACAGTGCAAAGTCTGAACTGGAACTTATATGGTATTTTTTTGTGGAAATACTTCCTTTACTGGAAAATGTGGATTTACTGAAACCAACACTGGTTTTGAAACAGGATTAACTTTAAGCTTATTGAGAGCTTAGTACACTTACATGACTTAGTCCCCATCTTCTAAGTTTCAGACACACAGATAAGGATGTGTTGAAACTCTGGGCTATAACATTTTGTCTTTTATCTTGCACTAAATGTGGATGCAAAGTAAAGACCTCATTTTGCTGTCCTGCATGTGCTGGAGTAACCTACAAGCTACATAGTGGTATGTAAGTAAGCGCAGGCTCGAGTCCAGTTGGAATTAAAATAGAAATTAGGTTATGGAAAAGAAAGTTCTTTATCTGGTTTTTTTTGAGGAATGGTTGTTGTTTAAACCTGGCTTAAACAATCGGGCTTTCTGGGTGGTACTGAAACTCAAGAGATGTCTTTGATCAGTCATGACTCCCAGTCGATTAGACCTCATCTAGGTGAACAGAGATTGATACTATCTTGTGTTTGCAGTGTAGCACTAGTCTCTTAAATGTTTGCTGTTTAAATGAATGCTTAATCACTTCTAGCTGTTCTACAAGTTGTAGGCACTTACTGTAGTGCATGGAAAGATTAAACTTTTTGTGGAAGATTCTTTGTATTTGTTTGTAGTTCAATATTTTCCTACTTCTGTTGCCTTTCTTATATTCTGGTTGACAAAAGGACAGAAAAATTTTATGTATGGAAACTAAATAAATTAATGAAAAGATTACATGGTTTCACTTTTGTGCAGACAGAAATAGATCTAAAATTTTTGTGACACTGCTTAATGCATCTAAATTTTATCTACTTGCTTTAATTTTATATTTTTGAGATATTGATCCTTAAGCAGATTTGATGCTGGAAAATGCATAGAGAAGAGTTTACAACTTGCAGTAGAACCTTTTCCCATTGTGCATTGATTTCACGTTTGATGGATTTGCCAACAGCACTGAGGTTATGGGTTGTGTTCTCTGTCATGAGTCTTCAGGTTCATCTTGTGCGTATGAGTGAAGAACTGGGCCTAGTTGAAAGCAGACTTCAGGGTGAAGACAAGCATAGTCAACTATAAATCTGTCTTGCATTTTTAACCAGTCTCCAGCTTGGCATGTATACTGTGTAAGGTGCTTGTTAACTTAATGTATTCCCTCTTTGATTCAGGTTTCAGACTTTCCAAAGGAGGTGGAAATACGAGCACTGATTGAAGGGCAGTTCATGGCCAAGAGGATTCATGCTGAAAAGCTGGGATATAAAGTCAGTAAGTATGATGAAAAGCTGCAGAACTAATGGCACTAGAGATCAAACACAAAGATAGGAGTCCCAACAGTAATGTCAGTATTGTGATTCTTGTCCTGCCTGATGGATACAGAAACTGGTATGAATTCTAAATTAACCTCCTGGAAGAATTTTTGACGGTGTGTTGGGGGCAAGTTTTTGCAGATGTTAACTTTAGAAGGACCAGTGTTTTAACTTTAAGATGACTTCTTTTTCAAGTATTCTTGCTGTTTCATTGTTACCGAGCTGCATTGTCAATTTTTAAATAAGAGTTTGGGCTTCGATAGCTTGTTAAGTGAAAAGAAGACCAGCCTTCTGCCTAAAGCACAAGACTGTAACTCAGAAAATCTGAAATCTATGTTCAGTTCCTGGATCTGCCATAAGCTGGTCACTTACCCTTTACCTCAGTTTTGTGTTAATAAAGCAGAACGCCTTTCCCTGATTTGTGATTTAGAAAGCAAGAAATCCTGCTTCCTAGAATTTATAATATGAATAGTTTTTAGCACACTGGAACAACAAAGTCAGCCAGTATTTTACCCACAGAAGTGGGATCAGATCATTACTAGTTGTCCAATTCTACAAAAAGAATACAGGCAAGTTGATAAGATGTATTACTGGCGTTTTCTGTCAGTGTATCAGCCAGTGGCATCTTAACAAATACTGAATTAACTCATCTTGAAGGTTTTTAACCAATGTTTTATTTTTTAAAATCATATTGTTTTTATTTACATCCTGACCTCCTCCTTTACAAGCCATTGCTTGACTCCTACTTCCAGGCTTTTATCCGTAATCATGAAGGATAGAATTTTTTTATTTTTTATTTTTAAGAGAGAACTCCATGAGATGAAAGTTGAGAAAATATAGAGATACTGGAACAAATCACGAAGCTTGGCAACACCGCCTCATAAATTTACACTGTAAAGGTTTTCCTGTTATATATTTTCTTATATACTTGAAACCCTATTTATTTGGGGAGGTTATTTATGGAGACAGGCAGAGATTCAAATAGATCGTGTTTAAAATACCTGTTTATCCTTCATTCTTAGATTCTGCTGCACCAAAAGCTAGGCTTATATAGCCTAGAGAGCTTGTGGCTGGAGAGGCTACTTTTGCAGGCCGTACATGTCAGGCATTAGACAAACACCAGAGTGCGAGAACTATATAAGGTATTGGACAACTCTGACACAGAAACAAATGGGTAGAAATTATCTGTAAATACATTTAGGCTAAGTAGGGCAGCCAAAGACCTAACTAGTTTTAGGATGTGGCTTAATAAGCGTTTTTTTGTTGTTGTTGTGTTTTTTTAATGCTATAGATGCCTACAGTAAAAAGGAGATGGGTGTGATTGCATTGTGTTCCTGTACATTCCTTGGAACCTTGTATGCTTTTGTTTTGTTGCATCCCAAGGGTCTTTTAGCTATTTGGTAACTAACAGATGAGTTGCTTTAAAAAAGAACTGCTGTATGTAGTGTAGGCTGTATGCATCTTCCACTTTTCCTTAGTAGTATTATTTAAATGTCATATTCTGTTATTTGTGTAGTGATGGCAGGCTTACATCTGCATTTGTTGTGTGACAGCTCTGAAAACAGGGTGTGTTCTGAATGTGTTTCAGGGTATGGATGAGCATTGTGGGAATTACTCTGGTATTCCAGACTTTCTCTTGTTTAATAGCTGCTGTATTTCAGGCTGCTTTTTTTTGTTTTTAATGTGATTTAAAAGCTTATTTATCTTTTGGATGAAATATACAGTCGGGACCCTTGTTTTTATTCAATTCCTTTTAGGCCTTGTCTACATGGGGAACGTACTTTGATTTTTCCAGGAATCAAGCTGATTTACATTCAGAAATATAATCACAGCAGTGTAAATCTTGGTGTTTTTTGTTGTTGTTGTTGTTGTTTACACTAATGGGAGAATACAGTAATAACTGCTCACAAGATTTGGAAAGTTATATAATGACACCTTTTAAATTGATCTGTAACAGAAATTGAAGTGACATGGTCAGTCACAACAAATGCTTTGCTATGGTGTTCTGAGGTTTGTGTGGTGCCATCTCAGTGGTGCAAACGAGTCAGAAATCTGGGTAAGAATTTCCCTAGTGCTGGCACCAAGGTTCCGGAAAATCATTTTGGCAGTCATGAACCTGCCTCTCTATTCTTGGTCCAAATGCAGTTTGGATGGCTGTAATCTGAAAAGCAGCAGTGTATGTGGAAGAGAATTTTGTAAAAATAAATAAATAAAAATCTGTCATACAGAGTTCTTGGTTATGCACTGTGAACATGACAAACACTAGATAATCCCTTAGAATTTACTTTCAGTTAATGAATATATTATCTTGCTAGGAGCAATATTTTGAATCCTTGGTCTAGCTAGCATTGCTGGAAGAAGTGCAATGATGCTGAAAGAGTGTTTTATATGTGAGGTTTTGTTCCCAGTTTGATGTGTCTGGTACATTATAGATCTTATATAAATTACAAACAGTAGTTTAAAAAAACCCTTAAAACAGCTTTTCAGGTGCTGTTTGTGCTTGCCTGCAGACGTGTGCACGGGTTTCAGTGCTGCTGGTGTGCCAGTAGAGGGCAGGGGATTCTGTCTCATGATTTTCTTCTTTAAGGCTGCGATGGCTGTGTCAGCCTTGTTTTGAAAATGGCACAGGGTCACCAAATGATCCTTAGGAGAAAAGTTAAACCTTACGTTAATCGTGATTTAAGGGTTTTAAAAGTGTGTGTCACTCTGTTCTAATTGCTCTAATCTTTCTCAATCAGATTTCAGGGGAAATCATTCAGTAACACCCTGTATCCTGTTTTGCTTATGTGCTTAAGGCGTGGATAGAGCGTTGTGATCTAGAAACAAACAAGTGAAGTTTGGTCTGTCCCTGTTGTTTACATCCTCCGATTCAGAGATTCATGCAGATAAGGTGAAGGTTTGCTGTTCTGCCTTTATTTTCCTGAATTTTGATTGTATCATAAACACCTTCTGTTTTGTCACTTCCTTCTTCTGCTTGCAGCCATCCCCTTTTGAAAGCCAAACTCACAACTGGAGTTCACATGCTGGTCATACAGACATACTAGCTGCATGGTTTGGGGACTCTGAAGTCAAAACCATGGTACATTTATAGAGGAATGACAGGGTCTGCAACTCAGTGACACAGGTGATCACAGCAGCTATAAAGCTGTCAGTGGTTCAGACTGATCTGCCAGTATATACTTTAATGATCTTGATGATCACTTCAGAGTTGCTTCTGTTTCTGACCAAGCAATCCTAAAGTTCATCCTAAAATTGACACTGAGTGGAGAATGTTGCAGTGGTCCTCGCTTGGACCTAGTGAAGCTGTACTGATGAAGACCCACAAAACTTACTATTTTTGAGAGCAAAATCTACCCCTCTGCCCACTGATGGGTGAAGTAAATCTTGCCATGATGTATGTTATGTACACTGAAGGAAAACAGCACACAGATAGGGGTTCTAGTGGAGATCACACATATAGTCAATAGATATTTAAATGATCTACTGGTCTACAGTGTAGAAACCTTCATGTCAATGGTGATCTGAGCACTAAGTTTATACATACTGGGTCAGGTGTGTGCCAGAGTTGTGTTAAATAAACTTTTGTGGGACTGCAGCAGCAATTAATAAATCCTGCCTTGTAGGTAGGCTGCTTATGTGGGGTGGGGTCTGTGTTGAAGCTGTTGAAGTCTTTGGACAGGGCTTTCTACCTTCAGGTTGTTGTGCCTATCAGTGGGTTCATAGCACTCCAGTTGCCTGATGTGCTGTTCGTGTCACATTTATACCTTTAGGAACCTGATTCTGCCACCTAACTGTCATCAGCAGGGGAAGATGGATAGAAGGTGCCACGTTTTACAAGCACAAGCTTTGTCCATAAAATCCTGTGTCTGTGTTTATTATGTAATTTACAGTTTCTTACATACATAAATCCATCACTTGCAAATAATGTTGGTGCCCTGAATTCTACTGACTGTACTTGGTGCTTAAGTGCTGGCTGGGGTGACACAGGCATGCCCATGGCTTTGTGCTGGTGTAAGAATGAGCCAGGGTTTTTCCTTAAGTGCTACATGTTACCAGTGTTTCAAATGTGTGAAAGTACATCTTTCTGATTGGATATACAACGGGATGCATTCTTAAACAAAACAGCGGTCCTGCAGTGCTAGGAAAAAAAGGGAAATGTCAGAGCATGCTGGGCCTGACTTCTCAGTGGTTAGAGGGGGAACTTTTATTTTCTGAAGAACTCAGTCTAAGATTATATGAGGGCAAACTCCAAGGTGCCAAATTTCCTTTTTCTTCAGGTGGTGTTTTCTTCTGATGCTCTTTTCAGCAGATTTAAGGTAGCAATAATGTGTGGCTTTGTCTGCAAGGAAGGCAGTCTGGTGGAGCAAGGGGAGCTCAGAAAATATGAATTAGTATAACATGGAGCAGTTGTGTTTCATCATTCATGTTGTCATGCGGAGGCACAGAAACCTGAAGGCAAGGCATGAGGCTGTCACTTCACAGCAAAGTGTTGGTCCATTGGAGGATGAAGTGGCTCTGGTTTGGCAAGGCTAGATGCCACTGGTTCTCGGGACACTCTGGGGATGGCTTTGTGTCAGGCTATGAGACAGGTTTTTGTGCTGGTGGTTGTCTTTGACTGACTGGCTTCTGTGATCGTAGTCTCCAAAACTCTTATGAATTATCAGGAATGCTGGGGTACTTGTTCCATCAGTTGCTTTTGCCTTCACCGCTAACGTGTTTCTATGCCAGTTGTAGCAGTGTTTTGGCTGAAATGAGGAACACTGTGAGTGAGGCCATTTTGTAGTTGCATACAGATTAAATTGATGTTTATGCCCTGCGGGATTTAAATTTCTTAGAGAAATCAATACTAAAATGTTGTGTTGGCTTCGTGCTTGTCTCTTGCTGTTTGCTGCTAAGAGTGCTGATGGTGTTTCAGCAGCATGAGGGTGATGGCTTTGTTAGGGGCCTTTTGCTTCAGTA